GAGGGATCATGCAACTGCTCTATATCGAGAAATTAATATTATTAATATTATAATATATTATTATCGAATTGATGTATTGATTATATATTGATTATATCGTTTTGAACATCGCAAACGATAGTTTCTTTTTTCCTTTCTCACTTTTGCTATATAATAATATTACAATAAACATGCCCATCTTCGGCGGAACCTGTCATATCCAGGTGGCTGCAAAGGACCTACCTGTAGCTTTATTCCCAGGTGGCTCAATGGTGAAAGAGCGAGGTATTTTTGATACGTCTTCCGACGCGAACGATACTCCAAGCCTGTGATACATGCGATAAATATGCAGGCCGGGCGTAAAACAATTACAATACTGATAAAATGTGCTCACAAGCCAGAGTAATTGCTCAAATCCTATCAAGGGTAACGGCTTTCTGCATGCGCAGTGAGATATTAGCCGTATCAGCGTGGAGCATCAGAACGATTATGGACGTTGCAAGCCAAGTGATCACTGACCACACCCTTTCTAAATATAGTGTGGACATTGTCTGCTTGTCAGAGGTCCATTTTCTTCATCTCGAGTTTCGAGTAATTACTAATCCTGGCTCGGAGTAGAGGTACTAGCTATATCACTGCTGTGCTTCGGATAACTCGAGTGAAATGGTTTAACGAGTGCCATTTCTGAAAATGCCTATTCAACTTTGATTGAGTGGTAAGCGGTATGGACCGTACGGCCTATGCCCGCTTTAAAAGTAAGTTCTGCAATATCTCGGTCATCGGTGTTTATGCTCCAACTCTGCCGACAGATAACCATAATAAAGATAATTTCTATGCAGAACTTCAACTGCTAGCAAAGTCTCTACAGAAACATGAAATGGTCATAATCGAGGGAAAATGGAATGCGTGCGTAGGTCATAATACATAATACAAAAGTCAGCTACTTTCGCTACTAGAGTAGGAAGTGCCTTAGTTGGGTGTCGAAAGCAACTGTCCAACTGTCTGCCAAAGCCCAAATATCAGGAGATCCTGACCATGTGCTGAAGAATTACAACGACAACAGCACAGTGGAAAAGAAATCGCTGTAGGAGAGATATGGCATTAAGAATGGAGAGCGGCTAGGTTAGGTGATAATAGGAAACAATGCCGCCTTCTTTATAAAGCAATTAAAACTCGGGGAAAAGTCAGTGAAATGAAATGGTAAGGGACAGCAATGGCATCCCGGTTAAGAGAACTTCCTAACCTCCTCATAAGATGGAAAGAATTCTTTGAGGCCAAACTTAACCATAAAGCGCCATCTCTTAGCCCTGATATTGCTGATACGTTCGTCGAACCATTCGTTTGCATCTGTGTACTGTCAACAAAAAATAAAATAATCTTTATTATCCATGAACTATTCAAATGTTGTCCATCGACCTTTATAACGCAAATGTATAGGAAAAAGAAATATTACCAGATGATGAAATTCTGCTCCCAATTTCCAGGAAAGATGATAGGATATTCTGCGACAATTATCGAGAAATTAGCCTAATAGAAAATTTTTACTTTCCTTTGACTCAACAGACTTATGGAAGTATGGGACATCAGGGTGTACCCTAATCAAGCTGGGTTCAGACTGGGCCCGGTTGTGCTGACCAACATCGCTTCAGATATTTGTAACTCATTTTCACGTGTTTCATCGACTTTGAGACTTTGCCGTAGTTGATAAAGCGACGTTATGATGGAACGCGAAGATGTTCCAGCGAAGATGATTCGACTCATAAAGGCATTTTACTGGCTTCGAAATAAAAACTGGTGTCCGTCAAGAGTGTCCTTTCCCCTGCAGTATTCAACTGTGCGATAGACTAGTTAATGGATCGCTTGTCGGCACTCAAGAAGCGTCCAAACCAGTCCAGAGTATCGTATCAGAGATCTTGAATACGCTGATGATACGCTTATGAGAATACGCTTATGAGATCTTGAATAGTCCTTTTTGCTGATAGTTATGACGAAATGCAATGCTAAATAACATGTCATCAACTGCAGCGAGAATCGGTCTCAGGATCAATGTAAATATAAACTCTTTTCGTCTTGTGTCCAAGAAAATAATGAAGTGCCTCTTTTTATAAATTCATTGTCGGTTGAGGAAGTGCGCGATTTTAAATACCTTGGATCTACTCTAATACCAAATGGCCAGACAAAAGACGATATTATAGCCCGGATCACGGCAGCTAGAAATGTTTCTTCCTGTTGATAAAAACTTTATGGAGCCATTGCGAAATCAACATAAAAACGAAAGGCCGCATCTATGTAGCCGTGATTCTTTCGATCTTACTATATGGCCAATGAGAGTTGAGGATATTACGAAGTTATCAACCTTTGACCACTCTTGCCTAAGGTACATTTTATCCGCTGAGCGGATAAAATCTCACATAATCGCATTCACCTTCGTTCAAATACCACTTGCGTAAATAATGTTATTACATAGCGTCGCCTTCGCTTTTTAGGCTTATTGAAGCATATAGGACATATACAATCTTTTGAAGTACATACCGGTGTATGTTAAGATTGTATTCTCTTTACAATCCCATAGATTTGGTTATCGACATTGCTTGTCTCAACATTTAAGGAGAATGCAAATCAATCGAGAACATACATACTTCCATGAACTTTGAATACATTCATGTGTTCTATTTTTTCATGATAGTTACAGAGAACTGCAATATACATTAGGTCATATGTCGATAGAAGGAATGAAAATTTTCGTTAAAATTATTGTAAATAACCCCAAAATTTTTTTTTTTTGTATGCCAGACACTAATAAGATCGCAATTTAAATTTATCAACCGTTGAAGGAGTGTTTGACTTTAAATATCTCGGATTCACCCTTATACCTAATGGTTAGGCGAAAGATAAAATTCCATATGTCCATACATAAGCTTTTTTTTGTTGGAACATGTTTTAAACTGATACTGATCAAATTTAATATTCTTTTAGTTTTTATTTATTTACTTGGTTTATAAATAATTTCGCATTTATCTGGCTGCAGTATACACAATTCATTATACAATTGCAAAATATGTAGAATTTGGGTGAAAGATATTTAAAAGTTGTCTACCTTTGACCATTCCTGCCGAAAGTACTTACTGTCTATCTGCCAATAGTGCACAGGATCTCACATGACTGCATTTGTCATATTTGAATATGTATATGAGAATATCGTCATAAAATACGATCGCATGAGATTTTAGGCCTAGCGATATACCTTAGATGGTAGAAAAAAGAATAGCTTTCAGGAAATACATATCAGGATATTTGAAGGCGTCAAAGGAGACAATCAGCAATTATAAATAAAATAGATTATTTGAGCTATTAGAATAAGTAGAAAGGAGAAATCATGAATTAATTTGGCATTCCAATGGGAGCCTTCTTGAAGCTAATGAATTCCTTCTTCGAATATTTTTATAAACCCGTACAATGCTGTAGTATAAAAATTTATAAATTCAATGCTGTTGGGAGAAATCACAGACTACTAATGTCATTGCATTTCATTGTATTTATAACTGAAGGAAAAGCTTTCAGTTGAGAATAGTAAAAAATATGCAAATTTTCCATGAGTTTTTCACACTTTCGCAAAATGCGATGTTTATTCCAAATTTATTATTTTCAACTAGCGATCCTGACCCGCCAAAAGGCCTTAATTCTTTGTTGGTTTTATTTACATCTGTCAATCAACAATTAGGGTCAATGGGGTCTTCTTATAGATTTGATGTTGTACTTACGCCTCTTAATAGAATTGTTTTTTTTTTTTTATTAAAAAGAGAACCAGGCTCCATTATCTAAATATTTAATTTTTTATTTGATTCGTTTTCTTTTATTTCTTCTCTCTTCTTCTAACAGCTTTCACCATATCTGGTAAACATCGATGTCTCCTATTTGGTATATACGTCATCAACGGCAATAATAGCCATTCATTTTTCCATTGTTTAAGCCCATATATCGCCGGTCCGCCTATACATTCAAAATCTTTCTTGACTGCGTCAGTCCAGGTCTTTATTCAACATCCTCTCTTTTGACGCCATCCATCCATCAAGGTTTAGTAAATAACGAAATATTCAGCTCCTGTGGTGGGCGACGAAGAATGCGCCTTAACCATCGAAGACGACATTTTGTGGTGGTAGTTTTAATGCTGGTGAATCTGGTGAAGATGGATGCTATCATATTAGATTTTATCCACTCGACGTACTCGTAAAATGCATCATGAGTGGTCAGGTGAAGATTTCTTAATATCCTCCGTTTTCATCGGCCATATCTCGCAACCATATAACAAGGAAAGCGATTCGATGGTTTCGTTTTTATAGTCATTTCGCGACGATTCTTATATGCTTTTATTTTATTTATTTACATCGTGCTTTTTAAATAATTTATGGTACTTTTTTTATTTGTTTTTAAAACATTTGTCTTCTTAGTCTTTGCTTCTATTTTATATCGAGCGTAGTGTTTTCGTTATGTTATTAATGGTTTAAGTGTCAATGTTTGAGGTTTAATTACCCAGTTGTGAGGTTAAAATTTTGAACCGAGGGTATCTTACATTATTTATACCGCCCATTCAAAGGGAAGCGATTCAAAAGTTTTCAACACAAAAAAGCGTGGCAGACGATCTAATACTTTTACTGCTTATTCTTATTTTGCTTTTTACATATACTAAGAAATTCTTTAAAAAAAAAAAGTTTATTAATTATTATAATTATATTTATTTTATTATATATATATATATATATATATATGTATAATTGATTTTTATCCATTTCTCTCCAAATATTTCCACTTTGTTGCCTCCATAGGATAAGATTTTTAAAAATAAATAAGGCCATTATAATTAAGAATTTAATAAAATAAGAAAATTTTGTCAATTTCAAATACTTGCGGAATATTGGTGTTGATATATTATATTATATAATATAATACATCTCGATCAAAAAATTTTATCATGTAAGGCCATGAAAATTGCACAAATAGCAACGAAAAGATACACATAGTTCTTATGTTTCGAAATTAATAGCAAAATTTGTTATAACCGCATAATGATCAGATGGATAATCATTATTATAATGATACGGTTTCGGATGAACATAACTATAACCATTATACGTTATTGACCAGAGTGGTCGAATGAGAGAACTTTTATAAAAAATGAAGTCAATTCGATCTTGCGGTTCAGGGACCATCCATTCCCAGCCAGCACTTGTCATCTTTTCCACCGTTGACCAAGTAATACCTAAAAAAAAAGAAAGGCAAAATCGCCAGAAATTTTATTTTTTACTATTCCATAGGCGAAAAAATCCTTTTAAAATCCCCTATTCGTTATAAATGTTATAGAAATTGTTATCATGGCACTGAAATTGGTAATCTTCATAGATTAGGCCATGTTATGCCTTGAACCAGGATTCATACGAAATTAACTTATCAATTATCGAAACAACGCAACGAATGTAAAAAACAACAACCCCTCTGGAAGAGCCAATGAATATTGGCCACAACTAAAGATTCCCTTCTCCGAAAATCAGAAACCAAATCCATATCAATGTGCCACTCGGAAGTGTACTAGGCAGAGATCAGGACGGTCCAACCATGTAAGTATGTCACGTCAGGATTCTGGTCCTGGCTACCGGTTCGAAGGCATGCAACAACAGCGATACGGCTAGATGAAATCCTCTATTCTACTCGAGTAGGTGATAATAGGAAAAACTATTTCGTCTTTATAAAGTGGGGAAAAGGTCTAAAATGATCTGAAATAATAATGGTGTGTGTGTTAAAACCAACAAAAAATATGCGAAAAAAGAATCTGGTTGCGCTGAGTACCATTTTATTGCTGATAAACATGGCCAATAATAGTAGAGTATGTTTAGACAGTGTTTTAACCGATTTCTGTTCATTTAAGCCTGTTTGCATATTATTTTCTTTGCCGCAAGATACATACCTCTCTAAGAAGTGGTATATAGAAGAAGCTGTAAAAATACTTATTTCTATCATTTCACTGCCGTTTGAAGAAGTGACCGATTTTATATATCTTGGATCCACCCACTCTGATCGTAAATGGTGAAGCAAAAAAATGAAATGATAACCTGGATAATTGTAACTAGAAATGCATTCTTCCGGTTGACGATGTCTTTGCGGAACTGTCATAAAATCACTGTAAAAAGAAGCTGCAATTCGCTTGACCTTCTTATATGCTCGAGACATGGCCAATGAGAGTTGGAGAATATTAAGAAGTTATCTATCTTTGACCATTTTTGTCTAAGGCATATTTTATGAGTCTGCCGAACGGATAAAATATCACATGATTGCAACCACCTTCGTTCAAATACCACCTTTATTAATCCATTAAGATCGATTCATCATAGGTTCGATTAATGCCTCTTGACAAACTTACCACTGCAAATGGAACCCGGGTGCTACTGTTGACTCATTGGACTGGCAATTCTATCACCTAGCTCTGTGGTTCTCTGGCGATGATATTAAAAAATGCTTGATTGAATTATTTATTGATGGATTTGGTGGAATAAGTAGAATTAAGTAAGATTTTGTTTGAAAAAGAATTTAAAAAAACTCGAAAATTTCTCGAATTAGTTTTGTAAGTTTCTCATCAATTCTACCCAAAAGTTGCACAGATGCATAGATTGTTCCTATTCATAACTGGTTTATGCCTTCTGAATGCGTCATCTTATTTTATTTTTTTAATTAAACTTTTATTTTTATTAGTATCTCTGGTTCAATGCTTGTTAAAAATAGTAATTCGCTTTTAGTAAAAATTTTACTATTTTGTAAGGAAATATAAAATTTTAGATTACTATTCGATTACTATTAAATTTAATCATTAACCTGGATGCCGGTTAACGTCAGGATGAAGTTCTCGAAATGAATCGAGCAGCATCGTTTCACTCTGTAGCATTTTAGTTGCTGGCCATTCAAAAACCCATCCTCCATGAATATTACTGAATTGGGCTCATTCATTTACTTTAGATTTAGAAAATTTTTCCAATATTGGCTTATTTTTCTTCACAAATTTAAATATTTTTATTTTACAAAGTATAAATATTTTAAAAATCTAGTCTAGCTAATTTGATAAATGAAGTAAGTGGTTTGCTCTGATCATTTCTACTTAGGCTAGTTCCGTTGGCCATCATTACAATTAGAAATCTTTGCCAGAAAATCATGTGGCGATAGAAGTGTGGGTGGATTGCTAATACCAGCTGATTTTAGTTACTTTATTAACTTATTTTAGATATCTTAATTATTGCGTTAGGAAAATGAAAATCATTTATATTTATATTAAAAATAATTTAAAATAATTTGTGCCAAAAGTGCTTCAAAACTTTTTTCTTCCTCAGGAAATAATTAAATCAGTTTCAGTTTGAAGTTAAATCAGTTTGAAGTATTTCTATTCATACTCTTTTAATGACAATAAGAATTAGTAGTACTGAAAAAAAAGAAAAAAAAATTGTTGACGTTAATTAATTGCAAATATATCATTTGAAGAAAAAATACCGAGTTTCAACAGTCCAATCGAGATGTGATGGTGAGTTGAAATCACCACAAACGATCAGAGGTATCGTATCCACTGATATTAATGCTTTTTGAAAGTGTCTATTTACTAAAAGCTCTCGTATATTCGCAAAACGACCTAAAATAATTTTATTCAGCATAAATTTTTCGACTACATTTTCTCCTCCTTTCTACTTCTTCCATTCTCTACTTAAACATCTCTATTCATTTAGAATTTTTGTAAATGGGCCATTTAATTAAATTCATCGAAAATTTACTCTTAATTGGTGCATTTTCGGAATAATTTATTTGTAATATAAGAGCAAATATTGCAGATCTCAACCTTCTTTCGCAAACAGTGCTTGACACAAATTCTTTTTATGAATGATAAAAAATTTCTTGTTAATTCATAAAAAAAGATTCGCATCAAATTAAAATTGTTTTAAAACATAAAACCATTAGTTTTAAGTTTTGGCCATTCAGTATTTGTTTTAATAATTTTTAGAAATCTCTAATTCACTCAGGAAGGAAATAATAAATAGTTTCACTAAAATAGTCGTCTCATTTTCTTTATTTATATATATATTATTAATACAACCACGTAAATCACCTTCCCTGACCTTATTCCAAATAAATAAATGTTAATTTTTTATTTCCGCCTTATTTAATCATAGTTTCAAATTATGACAAGTTTAATTTAATTTCAGTTTCAGCTGAAGAAGAAAGAAATTTAAATTATTCAAGTACATAAATCTGAATACTAAGGAAAAAATTTAATATTCATTTTGATTTATATCGAACAGTTTTTTGAATGTACTAGGAAAAGATAGAAGTTTTGAATCAAACCTTCACCAAAGTTCATTTCACCCGCAAGAATTTGACCATCGCTAGTCACCAACTTATTGTTTGCTGCATAAGGACCATAGGACCAAAAAACATTAAAAAAATTGCTTTAAAGATTTTAAAGATTTAATATTTTTTTCCATCAACTTTCATATGTATAAATTTTTGAATAGTGCAAATTTTTCACTTTATTGGCAAGGCAACCATTGTTATATTGCACTCGCTTTATTTGAGAAAACACGGCATAATGTGAGACTCGATATAATTAATTTTTTCTTAGTGGTGAAACTTAAATTCACTATTGATATGGCTCGAACGAGTGATATTAAAAAAAGTTAAATATTGTTAAATATTTACTTATAATCCAAATGAAGACACCACACATTTATGATTAAATCTGAATGATTTAATTTTACATTGACACCAATGCCTCGGCTAAACTGTGCTTGGGTATTCGGTATAATCTAAATATAAATTGTTCAGACTTCATGAATTCGAAAGAACAGTTAAGCCTTCTGTTGTGGGATTCATTACTTATTATAATCCAAATGTAGATACCTTATTAAATTTTAAGAAACAATACGAGTGAGAAGTTTAAAGTTTTTGACTTAAGGAGAGAGCCAAACGGTGAGAATGGAGGAAGATTTAGTAAATTCACAAAATACCGAATGGCGAGTAATTATCGCTGTATCTGGATAAGACTTATTTGGCATAATCATTTGCCATTTATCTCCAAGATAAACCATCAATTTCATCATAACATCTTGATTTGAAATTTCCTGAAGTATTTCTAAATTATTCTTTAGTGTAAAGAATGTGGAAAGTTCTTTGTGGATAAACATTGTGATAAAATTGAAACTAATGGAAACTAGGAGAGGTTTTGAAAGCTTAATTCATATTCTGATAAATAAAATTTTATATTTTATTAAAAATAATTCTAGTGAATCAACAAAAATTTTGGAATAAGTGCAGAATATAGCAAAACATTAATGTTAAATAATCCTAGAAAACACTTTTTTGTTCCTTTTTATTGCAGATATTGTTGAATTCATATATTGTTGAATTTTTCAGTGAAAATGATGATACCTGTAAGGCGACTATATCTGGATCAACTGATTTTATATGGCTCGATATTTTATATAGCCCATTTTTCACCAAACTTCCAGTAATCCAAGTGTTGAATGTCATAACAGTAAAGGTTTTGTCTTCATCTGCACTGTTGCATTCATGCACATATGCGAACAAAGTCATAAGGAGCAGAAGAAATAAATTCATCATAGCCTGGAAGCAGAAAAACTTCATATTAATCCTTGGCGAATTTGGTCGCCACTGATAATATTCAGTAGAGTCAACCAAACTAGAAATATCTTTACTCTATATATAACAAATATCTTTACTCTAAAACTTCAAAATATAACTCCTTAATGTAGCAGAAAAAAAAATATAGCAACAAATATCTTCACTCTAAAATAATGTGAGATTTCACAATATTTTGCTGAAAGGATTAATAGTTTATTGAAATAGAATTATGCAAATCGCTCCTAAATTTTTTTACTATCATTATTGCATTGGCGAATTAATGATGGAATTGTAGTCACAGTTATTTCGAAGTGTTTATTTATATATAGTGATGCAAAGTTCTTCACAAAAGCTCGCAGCTGAAGTATTTCGGAGAAGCATAAAATACAGGTTAATGCCTATAGCAGAATGAGACAAAACTCGATTCTAAACGATTCGATTCAGCGAACTTGTTCATTAAGTATAAAACGTTTTCCGTTTTCAATTCAGACGGATCAATAAATTAGGCCTTCATTCCATAAGAATTATTCTTTCGCTGTATCAACAGAATTATCAACAAATGAATTGAAAACGGTTCAGCGGCTGAGATAGATAAGGCAGTTAAATTTTTTTCCTGCAATTTCATACTTGAAAAGGCGTCGTTCCGTATTTATTTATTCATTCTGGATATATAAGTTCAAAAAAAATGCGGCCGAATTTTTTAAATTTAACCTTCAACTGACTGAACAAAGTGAAAAATGAATTCCAGAATTAACTAAATTTTAATGGCTAAATTTTAATTTAATAAATTAAATTTAAATAGAATAACTTTGTATAAACTTATACAGGTATTGAACTGGCATAGACGACAGTAAAGCAAAATCAGATTTTAGCTAGAAGTATATTCATTTTGATGTCCCAAAAGGACTAAACATGTTATTAAGAAACCCCGATAATGCCTGGGAAACACCGGTACTTCTAGCGCTAAATGATCTTTTTGGAAAAATTTCGTATTGTATTAAGCCTGAGGTAACCAAGCCATAAATGATGAGTATCACACAAACTTAAGATCGTTTCTGTAATAAAAACTATTCGTTTGCTTTTTGAGTTAGGTCAGATAGCCATTTAGCCATGTCGGTTTGAAATGGTTTATTATAGAATATTTTAGTGACCATATGTAGATGAATATCCTTCTTTGTGTCAATTAGAGTAAATATTGTGGCTCTCAAAATCACTGAAAAAATGATCAATGATAGATGGATAAGACATGAAAAATCAAATAGCATATAGTCAATTTTTAATGCCAACTTACGCCAGTAATTCGACGTCTTTATGATTTTGTAAGTAAATAAAGTGAAATTGGATTTAAAAACATCGTTCATAGTAGACGAAAAAACAAAAAGAATTTAAAAGATTTTCAAAGATGTTCTGGAATATAAAAATCAAAGTGGCTGGCTTAAAAGATAGTGGATGCGATCAATAATAGATGAAATGCAAGAAGTTTTAAATCAAAAAAATTTCATTCCTTTTTATACGAAACCTACAGTTTTTGAGATTCTTCATTCCTCATATTCATACTTTACTTTTTTGCCATTTATATATTAGCATTAAGAAAGTACTAATAATGATGGTGAATGATTGGTGGCAGCATTGTTATCAACATATCGGTGAATATCCATAAATTGATTTTAAACAACAAATTTCCAATCCGAATGGTTCTGACCAATTTATATTTGTGTTGCCAAGTATGAGCAAAAATTTCTCATCCTAAAAACCACATAAACATGAGATAATTAGTAGACAGCGGAGTGACATTAACCACAACCATTAATGATAAACGGTTTATTTTAATCATACGAAAAAATAGGTAGGTATTTGAAATTTTTCGGCTTGCTGTGCCTTAACATTTTTATTGAACCGATTCGTAAAAAATTTTCCTTTGTCTTTCTATCAGTTACTGTTCGCATGAACCAGAAAAATTTTGCGTTAATTCTTGCGTTGAGATTATAAAGTCCACATTATTTTCTCATTAATTTAATGAGGAAAAATGTGAAGCAATAGTATGTTATAAAAAAGGTTGTTTTCGAATGATCATTATATATATTTTCACTGATAAGGCTTTATCAAAAAATTTCGGTAATAGAATCAACATTTTAGTGAATTTTTATTTTTGTGTTTTTGTAGTGAATTATCCATCGATCCAATTTTTCAATTCAGATTCTGTTTTAATGCTTCGCGAAGTGATAAGATAGTTAGTAATCAGAGCTTCTAGTTAGGATTTATCCCATATATAACTTATTAGACAAGTAGGGTGATGCATTTAGCTAGACAACCATTTCAGTATATTTATAGCAACATTTGAATTTTTTACAACAGGTTTACGTAAATAGCAAGGGCTATGACTTAAGATGATAATCTAAACAATAATGATTCGCTCATTTAATTAAAGAATTAATAAATGCGCCTACAAAATGAATCTCTATATGAACAATGGATGAATCAGGAACCTGAATGCAATTTTTTCTCTGAAACAGATTGTATGAGATCTGCCGGAAACAACCGAAGGGACGAAATAAAATAATACGGCAAAATTTATAAAGCTTTCGAAAATTCAAAAAAAATAAAAAAAACAAAATTTTAACAAGGCTTTCCACATCATAAGCAGTCAACAATATGCAAATCGCACAAAATTGTTTTTGTTCTTTCTTTGTTCATGCATCTCTTAGCTACTTTGTAAGGCCATCTTATTTGCATATCAAACAAAAAAAAATTTTCTTTTGAATAAAAATAAATTAATTTTTATGTAATTTTTGATCTACCAATGTTTCGGAAGAACCACGCAGATTGGCAAAGGAGAACCGGTCAGTGTTGGATTGGCAATATCAAAAATCGCCTTCGCCATTACCATTTTTTATTAACTATTCGCCTTGAATATATTCGCTTTTACTTTGAACCTATTGAATAACTATTTTTTATTTATTATAGTAAACAGTATTTTTCATTTATTACAGTATTTTTTTAAATAAATATTTCAATTCACGGTCGCAAGAGTACATTCTTTTTCCGACAAGATCTATAATAATTAACAGTGGAATATGACAAATTTTACCAGTTATTTTTTTGGCGATGCTCCTAGCGCTTGAGTCCATTATTAGCTGGAATTTTTAAATGGAACGTTTGAAAAAAAATGAAGCAATACGAAGCATCATGGAATGGCAGTTAATTTTTCTACTGATTGGATAGAAGAACTTCAAGGCTATCAATCTAGATTCTATCTAATAGAACTTTCAAACAACGCAAAAAAATATAAAAAAATATAAAAATGGTTTTTATACGTATAAAAATGTTTGAAGTTATTCACAAATATTTAATGAAGGTTTTCATTAAAAATTCGTAAATAATAATGAATGTACCATCTATGGCTAATCATCTGCTAATCTTATTTTCATCTTATGCCATCGCTTCTATCAATATTGATAGCATCATGAATTAAAGCGTTAATTTTGTGGGTTTTTATTGAAGCGGTGATGAGAGTACACAATAAAAGTAAAAGTTTTCAGTTGTTCCAATATTATGTTAATTCCAATGAATTGTTAAAGTGAAGAAATTCCGTGAATGAGTTATTCTGACTAAGGTCACGCAACATGGGTTTCTGTTCTTGACGGCAGTAGACTGGTCGCTAGAAGTAAATCCTTAAAGAAGCTTACTCGTACTTTTATCTAAGAGTAATGTGCAAAAGATTTCATCCTTTTAATAAATAGCACTAGCCAAACCAAACTGATAATCAGTGCTATTTGAAGTAAAAAACGATTTGACACGGATGTGGATTGGATGTCGCTCCGAAGTAACATGCCAACAATCATTAACCTGAGGAATTCTTGGAAAAAAAATACTTATTTTGCAAAATAATTTTGCCTACTTTGCACTCTTTTTAAAGACATTTTTTAAATCAAATCAGATATTAAATCGGATATTACATTACAGAAGAGTTATGATCAGAAAATTACTAAGAAATAGCCAAAGGCAGGTTATATTCCGAAATATTTTTGGCATTATGGAATTCTTTATTTATGCGCTATCTAGCACAACAAAAAATTGACACTCTTTTCTGTCATTCATTTATAAATGATTACTTTTATCATATTTAATATAAATGATTACTTTTTTCCTGTCAGTCAAACTTTTAATCAGATCGACGTTTAATATGCAGAAAAAAAACCTATTTGTTATGTACAGAAATATATTAAATTGAATAACATCTTTTCTTTATTAGCTAATTCGTTGAACGATTAAATCGAAAAGCGCTATTGTTTTAGTTGAGTTCAAATACTACTAAATTGGAATTCTCTTACCAAAGAGTCTTCAGAATAGATGAGCCTCTAGCTCTACCCACATATCACTTTTAGTCACAGGAACCGAATCCATCCACGATGAATGACCTCAATGAAAGCAACAATTAACAATCGTCCTAGTAATAAGACATATATCCTTTTACAGTTTCATTGATTGCAAATTGTGCAGAATTGCAGAATTTTTAAATGATTTTTTATACGTTTCTTATTTATTTGTTTCTTTGTTTTTCCTTTTTCTTTAATTATTTGTTTTAAATTATATCCTTTTTTTGTATCACACATTAAAAAATATCCTTTTTTGTTGTATGCATTAAAACTTCTATCCTGGAACTTTAAATAAAGAAATCAACATTGATTTTATTTGAAACTGCGTAAGGTATCCAAGAAAGCCGGCCATAATTATTCTGACTTCATATCTATAAATAAATATATATAAGTAAGTAAATAAAAAAGTGACTAGTGCTCATCATTTCTGAGCATGCAACCTCAGCTGTCTGTTCATACAGCTAGAAATTTTTGCAAGGAATTTGTAAATTTAGTGTTGATATGAATGCAATTGAATCAGCCGCCGACGCAACTCGGATTTTTTAATGATTTGCTGGTCATTCAATTCCAATAAAA